CGCAGAACCCTCAAACTCCCAGGCCTCTGGTAGAGGACCCGAGATTGAGGAAGACATGTACTACCCATAGGGGTGAGGGGAATTTTTTTCTATAATTATTGTTGTTGTTGTTGATGTTATTGTTATTCAGCCAAGTTTTTACCTGACTCTGAGGTTTTTGTTATCTTCCATTTCAATCCAATATTTTCATTTGAGGAACAAATTAAGAAAAACACTCTTCTTCTCTAATATAAGACAGAGGCACACTTTTGTTGGATTTGGCCTAGTAAGCATTATATTTAACCTTTGCTGCATTATGCTAATACTGAGGTTCCGAAACGTTCTCCATTCATAGCATCCTTAAGCATCTCATAATTTTTTCACTGCACCCTGCAGTTTCGTTCAGTGTCCGACAGATGTTGAGTATTGCTGGGTTTCCCTTGAGATTTTAAATATCCTGTGGCGCCCCTGTAAATTCACTGTAGTGCTCTGGAGCATTGCACTACAAGGGTAGGAACCACAGTGCTTTTTTTAAAAAATAAATTTATTAAAGATTATAATTGCAATAGTAAAAACTAATACAAACTAAAAGAAAGAAGAGTAAAAAGAAGGAATAGAAAGTGCAAAGGAAAAGAAAACAGAGAGAGAGTGAGAGAGGACTTCCAACCTTAATCACAAGTATAAACAATTTTAGTAACTTTTCACCTCCTTGTAATTTACAGCCAATGATCCTCCATCCCATGTCCCATCTCTTATCTATAAACAAATCCATAAAGCATCATCATTTCAGTCCTGGTGTCAGCAAAAGTCCATTAGGGATTGCCAGAAATAACAACATACTTAACAATCTTAATCTTTAGTCCATTCAAGTAATGTTGTAGAACTTGATTTCTTTTAATTTCTTTTTTATTCCTTCTCACAAGATTCATCTGAGCTTTAACAAACCCCTTTTGTAAATCCAATATAAAAGAATTATCCAGGTCACTCTCTTGGTTTATTATTTGTAATTCCCTTTTGATTTTTAAAGCATCAACCAATTTTTTTTGTATGTCCAAATGAACCATCTTTTTCCATGTCATTCTTGTAGCCTGTCATTTGTAGATCCACTGTCAACTCCTCTGTCTTGTCAGATAAAACTTCTTCTTCTGCCATTTCTTCCAAAACATCTTTTGGACACAATCTTTCCATAGAAGTAAACATCAGTATTGTCATTGTTGATATTAACTTCTGATTCGATTTTTCAAAAGTAACCTTCGGTATTTCCAATGTTAT